AGACAAACAAAATAGATATTTATTGAAATTTTTTAATAAAGAATAAAATTAAATATGAAGACAAATACCTCTGAAATCCTTCATATTTGCAAGATGAACTATTATAACATTCTGAGAAGCCTGATTATTTGCCAAAAAACTCTGCACTTCATCAACATAATGCTCCCTGTAAGAACCAACCGTTAATTAAGGAATTTAATTAATAAATTATGCAAAATTAGGAAATGATTCCATAATTGACCCTAATAATTATTATGAGTCTTTAATAATTATAGTAAGTGAGTAATTATGCTGAAAGTCGCATTTCGGAAGAAAAGTGCAGATACCGGTTCTGCTAGTCGGTATAAATGCGTACCAAAAAAGTATCCCGGAAAATTATAATAAGTTTATGATAATTACTAGAATGATATGTAGGACTTGTAAAACGAGTTTCAAGTCCAGATAATGAGAACTGGTGCTAGAAACCGGTACTGGCTTGGAAAAGTGCGTACCGAAAAGGTGCTCAGAAAATTATAAGAAAAATATGATAAATCTTAGAAAATTATGTAGTTTCATAATCCAAAGTTTGGGATTAAAACGCTAAGCGTAGCAGTTAAAGATAATACTGTGTGTTTAAGTGCGTTTGGGCTATAAATACCCTTGTTAAGGGCACATAGCCCTAGAAAACAGAAAACCAACGTGAGAGGGAGCTGACCAGCTGCTTGGTGACTTCTCTATTGGCCTTTCCTTCCATTCTTGAACCAAGTCTTGATCTTTCTTGATTTTTCTTCATCCTTTCACTTGGGAAACATCTTGAGAGGGTGTGAGGGTGCTGTGCTTGAGGTTTAGCCACTGTTTGTGGGCTATTTTTGTTCTGAGTTGGGGTTTGGGTGGAGTGCCTCCTTGCTCATTGGGTTTTGAGGCTCAAAGGAGCTTTCTTGTTGAGTAAAAGGACCACCTTGGTAGACCATTTTCGTGTGCAGAGAGAGACAGAACCTTAGAGTGACCTTTTGAGCTCCAAGAGCACCTCTTGTTGGCTGATTGAGTTTTGGTAAGCCTTGTCACCTTTGGTCTTGAGTCTTTGAACTTAAAAATGAAATCTTGATGCATGTTAAGGCTTTAAATCGTTAAAAACCCAACCTTGGAATGATATCTTCACGAAATGCATTTTCTGCATTCTGTCGTGAAATATCCGGATATGTGCCCGATGAATATCCGGATATGTGATTTCCGGATATGGGTTTTGAGTATCCGGATATGGGATTCTGGATATCCGGATATTGCATATCCGGATATGTCCAGTGAGATATCCGGATATTGCATTTCCGGATATGGTCCCGAGGAATATCCGGATATTCTGGGATATCGTAGAACAGTAGCTGTGTTGTGTGTACAGTAGGCTATTGGGGGTTTGTGGACCCTAGATTGATGAAGCTGAACTTCTGTTTTAATTAAACTAAGTCAGAATCAAGTGATTAAGGGCTTATGGCTTGGTGAGAAGCCTTAAGACATAAAGCGTAATGAAAAGACGTTGTCTTTAATTTGTATGCATGTGGTACATGTTATTGATTTAGTATTGGTCCATAACAGATTGTGAATCTGCTGTGTTTGGACTTTGAGCTGTGGACTCTTGGCTTTTGGAGTTAGCTTGCAAGGTAAGCTTTTGTGTCCTCGGTTTAGCCATGTTGTGGTTCCACCATGTCCCATGGGGGTATGGTTTATGCATGTTGTGTACATGCTTTTGGATATTTGATATGTTGATTGAACTTTACATGTAATGCCTTTTAATATGCATGTGTTGTTTCAACTTGACGGGAAGCCTGAGTATGTAGCGCCATACAAGACGGTGTACCGGGGTGAATGCAAGTGGTACTTGCACGGTGTGTAGGTGATAGACGTATACCTGCACTGTCTCTGGCCAGTAGATTAGTATTGACACACATGGCATGATTATCTACTGCATAGCATGGTTTTAGAAATGATAAATGATAAACTGCTTTTGAACTTATATTACACATGTAAGTGAGCTTGGGGTGGAAGATCCTTGAGGACTCACTGACTTACTGAGATTTCTAGATTAGAGATCTTACCCCACGTTTGGGGAATGCTTATTTCAGGATCAGGTAGTATGGGTACTGATGCCTCAGGCGGCAGGAGGCCGGAGCTTAGCTGATTATGTTGTTTCTGCTTATTTGTTAGCATGACTGGATATTGATGCTGATTATGTTTTATGCCTTTTATCTTTATGTTGTTGTTGAGATTGATGTTGGGCATGTTGCCTTATTTGAGTGAGCATGGGGATTGTCCATGACACTTTCTGTTAGTACTTTTGATTGGAGTTGTATAAACTGTTAGATGGTCCGGTCTACATTGTTGTAGTTCCGTGACTAGAGCCACACTTATATTATCTATGTTATGAGGTATTTCAGTTAGCTGTTTTATTGCAATTACATACAGACGATGTTTTATTAATTGATTATTAAGCAAGTTGGTAATGTTAATGGCATCATAATTGAAAAGAAAAAGTAATTCCGCATTTTAATTAAGCGCAGCTTAATACGATATTATGATAACATTACCGGATATATACAGGGTGTTACACTCCCACAATGTGCATTCAAGTTTGTGACCTCTTTTTTTTCGCAGAGGTTTTTAAAAAAATATACACAACTCATTACGGACATCAATTTACCACACATAAAATAAATTACACATTACACATACGTTATTCAAAATCGTTACAACAAAAAATACCTGCGGTTGTCAAGCTCCAGCATAATTTTTTTTGCTTTCCTACCAAACACATCATGCTCTTCAACTTCGCTAGTTCCAGTCAGTAAACCGATGACATCTACAGAAAAAATAATTCAGATTAATGAAAATAATTTTTTCCAAGTAAATAAATTATTTAAAAAAATAACAAAAGAATACATTACCCAATAAATAAGGAGAGACCGTTTTTTGCTGTATAATAAAATCAAACTCGACAAAATTGAAACAATTGACAGGTATGGTAGCATCAACAATGGCCTTAACATCTGTCCTCAAGTTGAAAGAAATTTTGTAAACATGCCTAGTTGCCTTGAAACCTTCACCATTCAATCCAACTCCAAAATTTCTAATAAAGTACGCTTCCCCTTCTATAATTTTTTTTCTAACTTGCAAAGTCCCTCTGACAGTAGCATGGATCGTAGAACCCTACATAATTCAAACATAAATTAGCAAGAAGAGTCGAAGAATTAGAAAAAAAAAAGAGAGAAAAATATAAAAATAAGTTTGCAACATAAAAAAAAAAAAATACATGTTCATCTGCCAGAATCATCTCCAGATTGTCATCAAATCCCTTTTTCTCATAATTAGGGACCTTCCAAGTCCTAATGGCCCTAACCTTAATCCTCCAATCATCCTTAGAGGAATTTAGATCTTTTATAAAATCGTATTTTGAAAACATGACTAAAGCAGGAAGTAGAAGAAGGGAATAACAACGAATGATAATAAGAAGGAAAAAAATGCAAGATACTAAAGAAGATGAATGAGTCGACCAGAGAAAAATGGAGGGTTCATGTAAAAAATGATAACAATGGGGAGAGAAGGCATTAGAAGTCTGAGAGAGACATTAGGACATTCAAAACATTGAATAATTACTTTCAGTTTCCAATGGGGTACAATAGTAGTAATTATTACTTTCATCAATTACCAATGAAAGAAATAGGTGCGATTTAAATTGGATGTCTGCCACTAATATATTTTCGGACTTAGAAATATTTTTATTCTGTATTTATTTGTTTAATGTTCGAAATTCAAATTTCAAATGTCTACCAAAACAGGAAACTTTTTAAATTGTTGTAGGTGTGAACACAAACCTCAGATTCAAGGAGAATGCGACATATCATCAAAGTTTCCAATAAACGGTTTTACTTTAGAATAATCTAGATTTTTTTTAAGGATATTTAAAAATTATACTAATTCAATCAAAATCAAAAAAGAAAAAAAAATTAAGTGCAAAAATGAAAAATTAATTGAATTGTATTATATTTTTATTATAAAATTATTTTAAAAGTTTAAGCACGAGCGCGCACATATATATTAGTCATTTGTAATTTTATATTGTAGTATTTTATTTATAATTTTATTATTTTATTAAAAAATAAAGGTCAAGTCTAAATGCTTAAAGGTTTTGATTCTGATTTTTAAAAATATATTTTAATAGGCTCAAATCTGTATAATTTTTAAAATAAATCAGATATCAGGGCAAAAGTAGGTAAGGCTCTAGGTCCTTTTCTGATGTATTTACACACTTATTTATCACAATGTAAATCCAATAAGAAGCTTAAATTTCCATCTTTTCAACCCATAGACATTGCAATGATTATTTCCTCACCTCTATCTTCACTATGGTCGTAAATCCAGGCAAAACAATTAAAATAATATTTTTTAATTAAATAAATATGTATTTATTGCAGTTTTGAGAAAAATTACGGATCTATTGCACACTGTGACGTCCCATTGAGGCGTCTCTCATGAGGTGTTGACACGTGTCAATTTTTTTTCCAAAAAAAAATTAATTTAATTATAAAACTTCTAAAGGCCATAACTTTTGACTCGAGTATCCAAATCATGTAATTCTTTTTTTGATTCCACATAAATTTTTGAGATCTACGCAATGGCATCTCATTTGATATATTTTATTTTTCACCAACATAATTTAAATTTAGATCAGGCAATCTTTCTTCCTTAGATATTTAAAATATTTATTTAATTATTTCCTTTATTAACACATATTTTTCAAATTGATTTTTGAGTTTAAATCAAAAATCAAATCTTTATTTTGTTTTCCTTATTAATAATAATTGTTACTTTTAATTTAAATCATAAGCCAAATTTTTTTATAATAAAAATAAAAAAATTATTTTTTAATTTAAATCACACATCAAATCTTGATTTATTTTTTGTATCAAATCGCAAACGCAGAACTTAGAGGCTTCTAGATTAATAATGTGACACGTGTCAACACGTGTCAAATCCTAACACATCACCAATCACTTCTAAATTGAGTTTCAATCAAGAGCCAATCACGCCTAATTTAAGTAATTTTACTTTTGAAAAACATTCATGCAATCACAAATCAAATCTTAATTTAATCACAAATGTAGAATATCATTTATTTAATTATTTCCTTTATTTCCTTCTTCCTTAGAAATGTAGAATATTTATTTAATTATTTCCTTTATTTCTACAGATTTTTCAAATTGCTTTTTTAGTTTAAATCACAAAACAAATCTTTATTTTGTTTTCCTTATTAATAATAATTGTTACTTTTAATTTAAATCACAAAACAAATTTTTGTATAATAAAAATAATTTTTTTTTTTAATTTAAATTACACATCAAATCTTGATTTATTTTTTGTATTAAATCACAAACGCAGAACTCAAAGACTTATGAGTTTAAAAATGTGAAACGTGTCAACACGTGTCAAAACCTAACACATCACCAATGACGTCTAATTTGGGTTTCAATCAAGAGGCAATCACGCCTAATTTAGGTAATTTTATTTTTGAAAAACATTCATAAGCCATCACAAATCAAATCGTTATTTAATCACAAATGTAGAATATCCTTTATTTAATTATTTCCTTCTTCCTTAGAAATGTTGAATATTTATTTAATTATTTCCTTTATTTCTACAGATTTTAAAAAAGTGACACGTGTCAGATTCAGAAAGGATTTAACCCATTCCAATATCATAACTTTGAGGAAAACTCAATTTATAGCTTGGATCAGTACAATGTTGAACTTGGTTTAGTTCATTCTTCGGATGCACGTAGGCAAACCTTCTCAAATTGTAGTGACCAATCTACCCCTAGTATAGTAGGATTCAACTCTATTGCTGTTCTAAAGTCAGAAACAGATCCAGTTGGCTTTTGCACACGCCTACCAATAGGTAGCCCATTCAAACCATATTGGATTGGACCACTAAATTTATTTCCCGATTTTGAAGCAGCTAAATCCAAACAGGGTTTAATCAATCTTTTGAGGTAAACATCAAGCGCATTATTTAACAAGTTGGCTGCATCCGCTGATACCATCAATCCTTCCATTTCCAATTTCTGCTCCAACCTTTTTGTTAAAGAAGGTGCATCAGGCAGTTGACCAATGCTTTTACAGGTATCAGTAACGGTATCGGATGGTAATCCTTTACATGAAAGTTTTCGTGCTCTTTTATTGTAGGTGGGAATTGCCAAAGGCGCACGAACAGGACTCCTTCTATATATGTTCAGGCTTTCAGAATCCTCATCAACCTCCTCCCCATCTTCCAGATATAGAGGGCGCTTGCTACCTACAGAATGTAGATCAACAGTGTTTTGCTGCTCATGAATTTTAGGGGCCGAATCCTCAAACCCAATGTCGTTGTTCTTCCCTTGAGGACCAACAGTGTTTTGCTTCTCATGAATTTTAGGGGCCGAATCCTCAAACCCAATGCCGTTGTTCTTCCCTTGAGGACCAAGAGGGCTAGGACGGTCCCTGAATCTGCGGCTACGCAAGTTTGGAGTCCTACCTCTCCGAGGAGATTGAAGAAAATCCTTGCACATAAGCTGAAGATTGTTACACCCATTGGGCGTTTTGACATTCAAAGAACCTTCCACTGTGCTATTTCTTGGCAGGGCTGTCTTGGAGAGAGACGCTTTTTTCAAGATTGACCTGATAAAATGATTATGAAGCGGAACATTGTCTCTACCAATAGTTGCTATGCAGAGCCTATCAAATTCAGATTTACTAATTTTGAGACTGAGAAATTTCGTGAGAAGACTAAAGTATTTGCATGATTTCACGCTACCAAGCCTCTTTTCAATCTGTAACTTTTGCTCTAACGTGTTTACAGGAGGCAAATACTGCACGCCCGGCATCCTGCTTCCCCAAGTTATCACTGTAATCAGAATCAAAACATCATTAGGTTAAAAAAAGATAGGACCCCTCATATAGAAAAAAATTCATAATTTAATTAGGAAAACAAAACCCAATTGCAATGTTTGTTCAGAAACCGTTAAATTCCAGCCAAAAAAAACAAACAAACATGACAACTGATATAAAGTAAAAACGCAACGCTACTGAATTGTGAAGAACAAATCAGCCAAAACACATATATTAATAACGGTTAAGCTACTTCAAATCGATAATTGAAGTAACAGAGGACGAAATTCAGTGCACCAAATTGATCAAAGAAACTGAAACTCATAACAGGCAATTCACGCAATGAAGCAAAAAATAAAAATAAAAACTTATTGGAATTTGAAGTAAAAGAAGAGAATGCAAAACCTAAAAATATGAATTGGGGCTTGGGGTTGTTATTATTGGATCACTGTAGTACAAGGTTTGCTTCGGAAGTTTGAACAGAAGAAAGATTAGGGCTTGTTACCAAGGTTAGAGGAGAGAGAGCCAATTTGACCTTTCCTCCGAAGCTTCCAAGTCTTAGTGGTCAATATTATGATTGCTTGGTAAGGGAAATATTTATTCTATTTTCTATTGGGCTAAATTTAATGGGCCAAATTTATTATTAATTAGTTAATAATTTTAATCTAATAAATTATAACCGTTGATGGACGGAAATCAACGGTTAAGATTTAAAAGTATATAAGTTTATATCCTTTAAAAGGATAGATGTTATTTCCATTATTATTACCCAATAATGTTACTGTCAACATTACTACAATATCTTAATCGTTGCTTTTTGCCGATCAATGATTATTATTTTTCGCAATCAAATTCATTAATTAAATATTAATTCGCAATAAATGATAAATGTTGATTGACGAAAATCAACGATTAAGATATGATAATAATATTATTAGTAATATTATTTGATTGTTACAATATACTATCCCATAAATAAATACATAAATATTAATACAATTGTTTGATTATTGAAGCAGCGTTGTTTTCATTTTAAATAAATAGCTGAAAAAAATAAGATTTTAAATGATCTAATTGTGAAAAAAAAATTAACCGTTCATAAATGAAAATGAGTTTTTGAACGAGTCTGTAAAATAATTCCTCATCTAGGCATGTGAACTTTTTTATTTGTTTTTTTTTTTATAAAGATTGTAGTAAAATAAATTATCCCAATACTATTAGTGAGAGTGTTGTGTATAGAATCTTATCGGGCGCAAGTATAGGAATATCGAAATAATTACCTCAAAAGAAGGTTTATATTTTTTAAAATAAAAGTTTACTAAATACTGTTCTATTGGACGGGATATTTCAAATATAATTTTTTTAAGGATGTTTAAAATTATATTAATTCAATCAAAAGCAAAAAAGAAAAGAAAAATTAAGTGCAAAAATGAAAAATTAATTGAATTGTATTATATTTTTATTATAAAATTATTTTAAAAGTTTAAGCACGAGCGCGCACATATATATTAGTCATTTGTAATTTTATGTTGTAGTATTT